GAGAAGCTGTGGCTGCCCCATCCCTGGAGGTGTTCAAGGCCAGGTTGGACGGGGCTTGGGGCAACCTGGGCTGGGGGGAGGTGGCCCTGCCCGGGGCAGGGGGTGGCACTGGGGGGGATTTAAGCTCCCTTCCAACCCGAACCATCCTGTGATTGCCTCACTTGTTTTCTCTACAGCCCGCGGGTGATCTCTGGGGTCTCTCCCTCTCCTCCCGTGGTGCTAACCCTCCTTTTGGCATCCCTCTCTCCTCCCAGCTCGCCTACGGGCAGGACGGGCAGCTGAAAGGCTTCGCCGTCCTGGAGTACGAATCGGCAGCCGGGGCCGGGGAGGGTTAGGCAGGCACCGGACGGTGCTCGCCGGGAATCACATCCGAGTCTCCTTCTGCGCTCCCGGTCCTCCCGGTCGCAGCATGTTGGCTGCCCTGATAGCCGCGCAGGCGACGGTGAGGATTGTGTGTGCTGCTTCTTCCTCTTCCTCCTCCTCCTCCTCCTCCTCTTGGCTCCCTCTTCCCCTCGCAGCTTGCCGTCACCGCCATGGCATTCCCAAGGTCGGGCATCCAGCCTGGAGCAGGCTGTCGCGGAGCAGCCGGCGTATTTCCCAGCGGATTCCCTACGGAGCGGCCGTCTGTTGCCTGTAGCTCCTGCTTCTGGGCATCTCTGGCGTGCACGGCGCAAATTCCCTTGTTGTTGCCACATTTCCACGTGCCGCCGCAAAATTCAGAGCGGGAACGCCGATTGTTGCCAAAATCCAGCGGCGTCTCGGCGGGAGAGAGCTTTGCCGGGCAGGTGCCGCGCCGGCGGGATTGCAGACGGCGGAGCTGCTGACAGCGATGGCAAACTGCGCGGCCGCGCCACGGCCGTAGGGATGGGTCGGTCGATTCCTCCCTGCCCTACAACCGGATTATTTGGGGAAGGATCTTGCTGGGAATCGGATTTTGGGAGCTGGAATCTTGCCGGTTTGGGGAAATTCAGGGTGGCCCTTTATGGGGGAAGCCTGGAAGTCGGTCGTCTTAGTTTTTAACGCGCTGTTTTTTTGGTTTTTAAGGCGCTGAATCGTGGGAAAGGGCTTCTCCCCGAGCCGAATATCCTCCAAATTCTCAACAGCCTGGGAAATCCCGCTTCCCTCCAGCTGCTCCTCAACCCCCTCCTCCACGGGGCCGTCGGAGGCAAACAGGGTAAGGCCGAACGCGGAGCGGAGCCCGGGGAATTCGTCCTCGCTGCGGCAGGCGGTTCCTCCGGCCTCTTTTCCCTCTAGGAATCCTGGGCGCCGCTCCTTCCGTGCCTCTGGTGACCAACCCGGCCCTCTCCACGGCTCTCCTCCAACTCGCCCTGCAGAACCAAACCCAAGCCCAGCAGGTAGGCGGGAATTTCACCCTTGCCGGCATCTCTTTCCGCCGAACGCCGCCGTCGTGCCGGAGTCTCCGCGCTCCCGCGAACAAACCTCCTCTTAGCTCAGGGTCCTGCCCGCGCCGCCGCGGATGGGCGAGGGTGTCCAAACCTGATGGTGGGTTCGTTCCGCTGCCGTTTTCCGCAGCCGCTTTCCCTCTTATCTCTGCTCCGGCTCAACGCGGCTTCTCCAAAAACTCATTGCCGCTTAAGGAGTAAAGCGAGAGGAGCACAGAGAGGCTTCAAGCTCCCTGCCGCGCTTCTCGCTCTCTCCGTGCCTCTCGAACCGCCCCGCGCTTGGTTTTCTCCTCTTTTCTTTTTTTTTTTGAGTGATTTTCTGTCTTTTCTGGTCTTTCTCGCTCTGCTTTCTGCCCCAGAAGGCATTGCTTGGGAACTCCCTGTTACTGCAGAACCAGGTCTGGACTCAACTGCTGCAGAACAAGGAGAACCAAACCCTCTTCCATGTGAGCGGTAGGAGGCAGCCGGCGCGGTAACGTGCTGTGTGTGTGGCGGTGCCGTGCCGGAGCGCCGGGACCCCCCCTTAGACCATCTTCCCCGCGTCCTCCTTCCCTTAAAACCAGGCAGTGATCGCGGCGAAGGGCTTTTGCTGACGCCGGAGCTGCTCTCCTTGTGGGGAGAAGCGAGTCTTTGCTCCCGTTTGGAGCCTGGAGGGTTTGGCCTCCGGGAGTGGTTCCTCTCCGGGGTCATCGGCGCTCTGCCTCTGTCCCACGCTTGTTGAGCCGGTCCCCGCGCCGAATTCGGCGAGGAAAGGGAAGCCCCCATCCCTCCTGGGCTCCCCTTCCACTTAGCGGCTCGGCAAATCGTTCCTGCGCAGGGGCTGGGTGGGGTCGACTCCTTCTTTTTTGGCATAAGTGGACCATTTTGAACAAAATATTGGTGGGGACGTGGTCCGTGGCGGGGAGCATCTCCCCTGTCTTACTTCTGCTTAAGGAACCGCGAAAATTACAGATGGGTTTCTCTCGGTGCTTGTGCTGAGTTTTTAGCCGACGGCTGCCCTCGTGCCGCCTCGGTTCCCCCTCCATCTCGTGAGCACCGGGGTTTCCGCCACCTCTGGAGCCACGGATCTGCCGCGGCGATGCCGGCGTTGACCTCCCGTTTATCCTTTTGCAGAAACCGGGGATCCTGGGCGACTCGCCGCTGAGCTCTCTGCCCCACGGCGCCCTGGCTTTGGCCAACGCACCGGCGCAGCCCCCCAGCCAGCTCCTGGGAGAGCTCTCCTCAGGTAAGAGCCGGCAGCGCGGCACGCCGTGAGCCGGCTACGGTTTTTTGGTGGAGAAACCGGCATCGCCGCGGAGCTGGCCGCGCTCTGAACGCCATCCTCTCTCTCCTTCTGTCTTTGCCAGGTGGCTCCTTGCCCGCTGAGATGGCACAGGGACACGTCAAATCACCGATTTTGCCTTCTGGAAACGTACCGCTGGCTTCTTTCCTGGGACCGGTGGGAGTCGATCGGGAAAACGCGGTGTTGGGGACGCAGGTGCCGCAGCTCGCCCCCGCCGCCGTCACCCCCCAGGCTCTGCAGGGTCTCACCACCTCCATTTTGGGTTCCGTCA